CAGTAAGTATGACGACTACAACGTGTGGTTCCAACAGGAGCTTCCGGGCGAGGATCCGCTGCGAACGGGTGGTTTGGGTTGGAACAGTTGGGGAGCCGTTCCTTATGCGTTCGACGAGGTGTATCATCCCACATCGTGGACCGGACGCCAGACTATAGAGTTGATTCGTTCTTTTGCCAGCGAAGGCAAGGTTCCCTTCTTCTTGAAGGCTTCATTCCACCGGCCACACAGTCCGTACGATCCGCCCAAAAGGTTATTGGACATTATGCCAGCTCTATCGACGACCCCATCTATTTCCAGTGACGGGTGGGACGAGCAGTACAGAGATTGTAGGGCCAGAGGCATGCGTGACCAGTGGTGCGGCGTGGTGGGTGATTCTGCGCTCGACCTTACACGTCGAGCATATCTAGCACTAATCAGACAGGTAGACGAGTGGATCGGAGCAATCTTGAACACTCTGAACGAGACAGGATTCGCAAACAATACATTCATCTTGTTTACATCCGATCACGGTGACGAGCAGATGGACCACTACTTGTGGAAGAAGGGTTACCCTTATGAGGGGTCCACTCATGTGCCCATGATTGTGCACTGGCCTGACGCGATGGATGGGATCATTGATGTGGAGCGCGGCTCGACGATCAGCGGAGTCGTCGAGATGCGCGACATCTTCCCGACGTTTCTGGATGTCAGCGGCAGTTGGAGCGAGGGCTTCGAGAGTTTCGAGGGACGCCCCCTGACATGGCTCCTCCGCAACGGGACGCACACCTGGCGACAGTTCTTGGACTTAGAATTGGGCCAGTTCTATATCGGCTCATGGAACGCGATCACCGACGGGAGGATGAAGTACATCTTCCACGGCTCGCATAGGGAGGAGCAACTCTTCAACCTCACCGACGACCCTCGTGAGCAGCGCGACCTCGCTGGTGTCTCCGGTTACGGCCCCGAGCTCGCGGTCTGGCGAGGGCGGCTCGTCGATCAGTTCTTAAGGGAGAAGCGCGGTCTGGGCTGGGTCTGGGGCCGCACGCTGATGCCCAGACCTTGGATCCCTTGCTCTTTCGGCCCCAACTACCCGGAACAGGACATCCGGAAGACGATTTGCAGTGTGGCCTCGTCCGTCTCGTGGCCTGTGTTGATGGCACTGTGCTGCCTCCTTGTTGTGGCGGCGCTGTGCTGCTGTTGCTGCGCTTGCTGGGGTGGCCACCGGCGTCTGCGATCACGCCGGCGACGGCATCGCCCTGGTGCGGGTGCAGACGCGACAGAGCCTTCGGGTGGGAAGCGGCAGCCCCTGGATTCCGCAGAGTCCCCGGCTGTTTCCATATGAGATCGAGCAGGATGCGGCCGCTCTCTGCATCGAGAGGAAGCGGGCCGCGCCAGGCATGGGGTTTGGGCGAGCGGCTTTGCCGCCCTGGCCAGCTTCTGCTCGTCCTGTGGCGCTGGTCGCGCGTGCGCGGGGCCCGCCGTCGCCCGCGTGCGCGTGCGTGAAGGCCCGACGCCGGGGCGAAGCGGAGGTGCAGGCCGTGTAATCTCGCGCGTGTAAGCTCGCGCGCGAGTGTAAGGCCGTGTAAGCCAGCAGGGCGCCAGGAAAGGGCGTGTAAGCTCGCGCGCGAGCTCACGGCCAGCAGCTTGCGCCCAGCATCCAGGCTGCTCACGCAGAGTCGGCACGGCAACGCGCGCTGTGATCTGGCGGCAACAACTCCAGGTGATAGATGACTTGATGGGCTTGTCTTCCACCTCCACCACCATGAACTGGAGGGGGGAAGGAGGCGGAGGAGGAGGAGGATAGGGAGGGGGAGGAGGAGGAGAAGGAGGAGGAGGAGGAGGAGGAGGAGGAGGAGGAGGAGGAGGAGGAGGAGGAGGAGGAGGAGGAGGAGGAGGAGGAGGAGGAGGAGGAGGAGGAAGAGGGCGCCCTCCCCCCCCAACTTATGGTGGTGGTGGTGGACGGTGGAGAACAAGCCATCCTTAGCCACGCGTGCCCGCGAGGAACGCTGGTTTGGGCCCGAGGAGGGGAGGAGGGGAGGAGGAGGAGGGAGGAGGAGGAGGAGGAGGAGGAGAAGGAGGGAGGGAGGAGGAGGAGGAGGAGGAGGGAGGAGGAGGAGAGGGTGGGAGGGAGGGAGGGAGGGAGGGAGGGAGGGGGGGGAGGGAGGGAGGGTGGGAGGAGGAGGAGGAGGAGGAGGAGGAGGAGGGAGGAGGAGGAGGAGGAGGAGGAGGGAGGAGGAGGAGGAGGAGGAGGAGGAGGAGGGAGGAGGAGGAGGGAGGGAGGGAGGGAGGGGGAGGGGGAGGGAGGGAGGGAGGGAGGGAGGGAGGAGGGAGGAGGAGGAGGAGGAGGAGGAGGAGGAGGAGGAGGAGGAGGAGGAGAAATTGGCGCTACGGCACAGAGGCTCAGTGGGGTTGCCGCTTTTGCCCCATCTCTGCCGCCGCCTCGCCGGGGCCCTCCTCCGCGCTCCCTTCCTCCCCCCCCCTCGTCCTAAGTCGGGCCTGTCCCTCTACAGGAGGAATGCAACAAATAGTAAAAGTAATACTCTGGGGACTAGTTTTTGATTTTTCTTGTTTACCATTTGGGGGTATGTTTGAACTAATCCCCCTGTAGGGGGACAGGCCCGACCTAATCCTCGTCCTCCCTTCTCGGCCACGCGCAGCAGGGGGGTATAGGCCCCCCCCCTCGTCCTCCCCCCTCGGCCACGCGCAAAGGGGGGGGTATAGCGTGAGGGAGGCAGGCTTCTCAGGAGCACCCCTGCGTCTTAGAAGGTAAAGACTTCATCTGTATTGGGGGAGCGTAAGACCCGGGTTTGCCAGGACTCGGGTTCGCCATCGTTTTTTGACGACCGCGACTCGGATTTTGACGAGGAGGAATTTCGTGGGATGTCTGCAGCGGGAGGCCTCGTCAAAATGCAGGCTCGGCCTCGTCATTTTTTTGACGACCTCGTCGTGGATTTCCGAGTCCCCCGTACCCGGGTCTTACGTCTCCCCGACTGTAGATGGAGGGCCGGCGCCATCGAAGATGGAGGGCCAGCCTTCTAGGAAGCCTTCCCCCCTTGCACGACTCCCAAGTGCGCGCCGCCCAAAGCGGGTCAGGATTGGAGCCAGCCGGGGGTCTCGGGTGGGTCAGCGCTGGTTCCGGGCAGCAGGCGGAGGCGCCCGAGCCATCTTCCAGAGCCATCGAGTCTCAGAGATTCTCGATCCGTCCTTATGCCCCATCTTCTCCTCGCCCTGGGATTCTCGTCTCAGATGGAGCCCGGGAGGGGTCCCGGGATTTGGAGCGGATTTGGGCCGGGCAGGCCGCTGTTGTCTCCAAGGCCGATCTTAAAACGACACGAAGATCGGGGCAAAATCGGATCGGGATAACTCGAAATCTCTGAGAATCGGCGGGTTCGGAGGATGCACTGGGCGCCGCGGCCGCTCCAGAGCGTTCCGGAACGCTCTGAGAGCGCTCCAGAACGCTCTGGAGCGATTCATCCCGATCCTATAGCCCTGTTTTAGCTGTTGTCTCTCAGGACCTTCCCGCGGGCGTCCCGCTGCTGCCCTGCGGTGCCGGTGGCTGCCCTGCGGGCTGCGGCCCCTCCCGTCTCGGCGGAGGGCCGCCTCCCTCCAGCTGCCCCGCCCTCGTGCCGAGCCTGGGCACGCCCCCCCCCCCTCTCGGGGAGAGCAGCGCGGCACCACCACCACCATGGGGTGCCCCTGCAGCGAGGATGTCCAGGAGGCCTCCCCCAGGCAGGGTATCGAGGACGTCTCCAGCGGGCCACGCGGCCCCGCCACCAGGAGGAGCCCCCCTGGTTCCTCGTGCTGCCGGCGGTGTCGCGTTTCGTTGTTCCCACCCCCGGGCCCTGCTTCGGTGCTAATTCTGTCTGCATCTTCATTCTCTTCCTCCTCCTCCTCCTCGCACTGTGGAGCAATAGTGAAATGAACCGGGAACCGGGGACAGAGGGAAGGGGACCCGGAACTGGGAACCGGGAATCAGGAACCAGGAACCGGGAACGGGGAATTCGTTGACAAAAAGACCTTACTTCCTCCTCGTCCTCCTCGCCGTCCTCGCTTGTCCTCGTTGGGCCTGCGATCTTCCAGGGAGCTTCTGTGACGGCGGCCTGCGGCTACGGCTTCCGCTCTTGCGTCTGGCGGGCTCTGGCAATCGACGCGTCTTATGACAGCCGCTGTTGCAGTGCTTCTTTGTGCTGCTGGGTGTGGGGATCGGGCTTGTGAATTCCTGGGCTAGAGCTCCAGCGAGTTGCTTTGGAGCGAAACCACAGGTCCCGTCACGGCATTCCAAGGCGTTGCACCTCGACGGCTTGCATATTGCCATGTCCCGCACGGGCTGCCACTCCACTGAGATGGTTCGCCTGACATGAATGTCCGACAGCGTCTGCCAAGCAGCCCTTTCGACTTGGTCGTCGCCATCTTGGAAGTTCGGGATTGCCTCCCCCCTCCCCTCCCACCCCACCCCACCCCACCCCACCCCACCCCACCCCACCCCCACCACTGCCACTTTCGTCAGACATGGCACGCTACCTGTAGCACCTCCTGCAACGATGGCTCACTCTCTCTCTCTCTCTCTCTCTCTCTCTCCTCTCTCTTTCTCTCTCTTTTTCTGCTCTACAGGCCTGAACTCGCTGCAGGTTCTCGTCCTCATTGTCGTCCCCATTCTCGTTCCCCTCATCCTCCTCCATCCTCTCTCTCCCTCCTGCCTCCCTCCCTCCCTCCTGCTTCAGCCCTCCCTCCCTGCCTCCTCCTCCTCCTGCCAGGGCCACGCTCGACCTCCCGCCTCCCCCCCCCCTCCCTCCCTGGCGCGCCGTGGCCGACCGCCTGTGCAGAGGGCAGGCGCTACGCCCTCCCACCGGCGCAGGCGTGGCGCCCTCTGCCTCCCGTGCCCGCTGGAGTGTCGACCGGAGGAGGAGGAGGAGGAGGAGGAGGAGGAGGAGGAGGAGGAGGAGGAGGAGGAGGAGGAGGAGGAGCGTCCTCTGCCCGCCCGCGCGCCCGCGCGCGGACCCGGACTGCTGGCGGCGCAGGCGCTCGCCGACCGCCTCGACGCCCCCCTGTTCGCCCTGCTCTCCATCGCCCTCGCGGCCCCGGCGGCGGTGGAGGAGATGGCGGGCGGGGGCTCGGCGACGAGGGAGGCCGGCGCTGACAGAGAGGAGTCCTGGGAGCCGGCGCCGGGCGATCGGAGGGCCGCTCTGGCGTCCGGGCCGATCGCCCGGCGTGGTCTCCAGAGGCTCCCTGCTCCAAGGGGCCTCCCGGGGCATGCGGGGCCTCCGTATTACGCAGGGCCGGCCGGGACCTCAGGGGCCCGCGGGCCACAAGCTCGGCGACTCGAGGGGATCGAGCCAGAGGCTCCTCGCCTGCGTGGGCCATCGCTGGCCCCCAGGGGCCGTGAAGGAACGACATGGAAGGAATGGCCAGCCCTGGAACGCAGCCCCATCCCTACGATCGGCATCACCTTCTCCCACTGCCGATCTTAAGCGCTGCCTCCATTTCTGGGGGCGCGTCCCTGAGATCGGAAAGAGCGTGTTCTACCGCTGCTGGCGGAAAACCGGGGGGGGTCACTACCGGTTCGAACCCCTCCCCCCCCCCCCCCCCCGGAAAACCGGGGGGGTCACTACCGGTTCGAACCCTCCCCCCCCCCCCCCTCGAAAACCGAGTGGGGGTGCGGACAGTGGTGGGGACGGTGTTGGTGGGGACAGTGGTGAGGGGACAGCGGGACAGTGGTGGGGACAGTGGGGGGACAGTGGGACAGTGGTGGGGACGGTAGTGGTGGGGACAGTGGTGGGGACAATGGTGGGAACAGGGGGGACAGTGGACAGTGGTGGGAACGGTGGTGGTGGGGACAGTGGTGTGGGGACAGTGGGAATGAGGTGGAAACACTGGGACAGTGGAGGGTACAATGGTGGTGGAGACACTGGTAAAGGCGGTGGCGAGGACGGCGGTGGGACAATGGGACAGAGGTACAGTGGGGACAGTGGTGGGGACAGTGGGGACAGTGGTGGAAACAGTGGGACAGCTCAGTGGGACAGCGGAGGAGTCAGTGGGGACAGTGGGGACAATGGGGATAGGCAGTGGTTGGGTCCGTGGAGACAGTGGGGAGAGTGGAACCGTGGTGGGAACAGTTGTGGGAACAGTGGGGACAGTGCGACAGTGGTGGTGGCATTGGTGGGGACAATAGGGACGGTGGTGGAACCAGTGGGGACAGTGGTGGTGAGGACAGTGGTGCTGGGAACAACAGTGGGGGATGTGATGCGAGCGGTGGTAGGGACCGGGAGTCGTTTGCTGGCGGTGCGTGGGGAGGGGGGTCGAACCGGAAGTGACCCCCCCGGTTTTCGAGGGGGGGGGGGGGGGGGGGGTCCAGGGGGGGGGGGGGGGGGGGGGGGGAGTGACCCCCCGGGGGGGGTTTTTAGGAGGGAGAGGGGGGGGGGGGGGGACCCCGGGGTTCCGGAGGAAAAGGTTGGCAATTTTCCACAGTAAAGCGGCGGGCGGTGGATCACGCTCTCTCTGAGATCGCCCTCGCTTCTGGGCTTGTTCGGCCCTGAGGGGTAGCGACAAGCTGGAGACTGGCAAAGGGGGGCCAGAGTCGTGGGGGAGCGGGGTCGAGAGCTGCGGCGGCTGGGCCTGAGACTGGGAGAGGCCCAGCCGCCGGATGTCTGGGGACCGCCGCGGCGGTTCTGTCCCGTTCTTGGGGGCGGATGCGTTTTCCAAGCATTTTCTTTGGGTAGAGGGCAAAGGGTGAAATCTGAAATGCCGTTCGATGGATTTTCGAGGCTTGGAGACGGATTGATTTTCAAGTTGCAAAAGCCCATGTGGATTTCACCCTGAGCCCTCCATCCTAAGAGAATGCTCAGGCTTTTCCAACTCCTCAGCGCTTGCGCTGAAGGGGTCCTCGCGGAAATTCGAATGATTTGGTGAGACAGTAGGTCGTCGATGTGTGCAGTCCTGGTTCCAGATCTCGGGCTCCTGGCATTTGCAAGGGTTCTGCGAGCATGTGCCGCCGGTTCGGTGGGCGGCCAGTTTCCTTGGTTGCGGGTTTTCTGTTTGGGCTGAAGTTCTTTATGCTCCGCTTATCTCGGGCCGAACGAAAGGGGGGATAGGGAAAGGGGGGGTTGCGAAATTTGCTGCACTCAGCTGGTTTAGGCCCCACCGAGGGGCCCATTCACCGATACATGGCCGCCTCCGGTGCCGGGAGGATCCAGGAAAATCAGCTGCGTGAGCTGATTCTCACCCACCCCCCGCCCTTTCGCCCGACCGAATTATCCCCACCAGCCCATCCAGCAACTATGCCCAGGCGAGTCTTGGGAGCACCGTGGAGGCCTCCTTGATCTATCTTGGGAGGAGGGGGCAGAATGAGGGAGAGGGGGAGGGGGAGATGTAGGAGAGGCAGGAAAGTAAAACACATGGGATCTGAAGGGAGGGGAACAATGCCGATGTGGACCCTTTCATCTATGAGTTGGTTGGAGGATTTGTCGGGCCCTCTTGGGGTCCTCTTGGGACCCTCTTGGTCTTCTCTTGCGGCCCTCTTTATCTTCGGTGTGAAGAGGAAGGAAGAAGGAGCAACAGGAGGATGAGGACAAGGGACTGAGGGCGGGGTAGGAACAGGAAGACGACGAGTCAGGGGAGGAGGTGGACGAGGAAGAGGATTGAGGAGGACGAAGGAGACGACGACGTCGACGACTGGCCCTCTTGGGGCCCTCTTGAAGCCCTCTTGGGGCTCTTCGGAGGAGTGTTGGCGCCCTCTTGGGGCGATTTTGAGCCCCATCGCTCAAACGGTTTTTTAAGGCTGCATGCAATTCAGACCCCCCACCCTCGCGGGGGGGGGGTAGAATCGCCTCCGGGGGCCCTCTGGGGGTGCTCGTGGGGGGCGTCTGAGGCGCTCTTAGGGCCGTCTTGGCGGCCTCTTAGGGCCGTCTTGGCGGCCTCTCAGGGCCGTCTTGGCGGCTCTTAGGGCCGTCCAGGCGTGGTCGACCGTGGGGCAGACGCCCCTCGGAAGCGAACAGACGAGAAGGCCACACACACACACACACACACACACACACACACACACACACACACGTTAAGCTTCCTGTGGTCTGGGATGGGCTTTTTGGCCTCTCGGGAGCGTCCCTGGGGGGCTCCGTGGCCACTTGGAGCCGTCTTGGGGGCGGTCTGGGCGCCTCCTGGAGCCATGTTGGGGGGGGGCATCTCGAGTCATGCTCGAGTCGTGATGGGCTATCCTGGCCCCACCTCGGAGGCCATCTTCGGTTGTCTTGGGCCCCTTTTGGGGCCATCGGGGGCCATCCCGAGCGCTTTGACGGCTCCTTCCCCCGCCCGTCCAGGCCCATGGGAGGGGGCATGGGGGTAACCTTAAGTCGGGCCTGTCCCTCTACAGGAGCAATATTCAAAGATAGTCCAAAAATAGTCTGGGGACTAAATCCCCCTGTAGGGGGACAGGCCCGACCTAAGGGTAACCAAACTCTTCATACCACCTCCGCCCAGAGAGCTGGCGGGATTGCTCGCCGGTGCCAGTGGTCGGCTGGTTCCCTGGGCCCCCACAGAAGCATGCGCCATACAGTGGTTGCCAGCGTGGGCCCAAAGCAGTCAATCATTGCGCGGTGGATTTGTGAGCTATATGGTACACGCGAAGGTGGAGCAAAATCGGAGGTTGGGGGGTGAGGTCGCCGCTGAACGGAGACCCCCAACCGGGAAGTCGTTTCGTTTCGTTCGTGTCGTGCGTGCGGGCGATGCGAAGCTGCGTGTGCGCACGATAGGAGTGATCCCGCCGTTGCTAGGGCGAAGTCGAGACAAATGATACTCCCCCATCCGTCCGTCCGTCCAGCGGTGGCCCTAGCGGTGTCCCGCGGTGTCCCGTGGTGTCCTGTGGTGTCCGCCGTTGCTAGGGCGAAGTCAAGACAAATGATTCTCCCCCGTCCATCCGTTCGTCCGGCGGTGGCCCGCGGTGTCCCGCGGTGTCCCGTGGTGTCCCGTGGTGTCCCGTGGTGTCCGCAGTGCTAGGGCGAAGTCAAGACAAATGATTCTCCCCCGTCCGTCCGTCTGGCGGTGGCCCGCGGTGTCCCGCGGTGTCCCGTGGTGTCCCGTGGTGTCCAGTTGAGTGAAATCGATAGTGAGATCGATATTGAGATCAATGCTGAGATCGATGTGGTGCCCCGAGGTGTCCCGTGGTGTCCCAAAAAGTCACAGATCGATGGTGAGACCGATAGTGAGATCGACAGGTGTCCCGTGGTGTCCCGTGGTGTCCCGTAGTGTCCCGTTGAGTGGGATCGATCGTGAGATTGATATTGAGGCCGATACTGAGATCGATGTGGTGCCCCGTTGTGTCCCGTGGTGTCTTATGGTGTCCCGTTGAGTGAGATCGATAGTGAGACCGATAGTGAGATCGAGAGGTGCCCCGCGGTGTCCCGTGGTGCCCCGTGGTGCCCCGTGGTGTCCCGTTGAGTGAGATCGATAGTTGGATCGATAGTGAGATCGACAAGTGTCCCGTGGTGTCTCGTGGTGTTTGGTAGTGTTCCGTGGTGCCCGTTGATTGAGATCGATAGTGATAGTGATATCGATTGAGTCAGATGTTGGTTCCCCCCTTCTCCCCACCCCCCACAAACTCCTTCTCCCCCGAAGGGTGGTCGTATAGGTGCATACATCGACATTTATGATATAGCGCACTACGTGTGGTGTAAGCTATGCGGTGCAAGCTAAGTGGTGCACGCTATAGGGTGAAAGCTATGCGACGCAAGCTACGTGGTGTCAGCAATATGGCGCAAGCTGTACAGTGAAAGGTATGAGGTTAAGCTGCGTGGTCGAATATCTTTTATACACACATACAACTATACCTATACGACCACCCGTCGGGTGATAAGGAGGTTGGGGGGGGAGAAGGGGGGAACCAACATCTAACTCAATCGATCTCTCTATCGATCTCACTCAACGGGACACCACGGGACACAACGGGCCACCACGGGACACTTGTCGATCTCACGATCGATCTCATTAACGATCTCACTCAACGGGACACCAGGGGACACCACGAGAGACCGCGGGACACCTCTCGATCTCAGTATCGATCTCAACATCGATCTCACTATTGATCTCACTCAACGGGACAAGACGGGACTCC